AGCTCTAAATATAGTGATGTGGGAAAATACTCAAGATATTTACGTGGGGAGAGTTGAACATCATAATCTCACTTTTGTTTCACATACATACCAAATTTTATCAAATCTAAGATGCTGCTGATTTCCAGATACTCGTTTGGGCATACAGTTACGTATCAGTTCACATGCAGTGCAAACAGGTTTCCTATTATTGATACTACTGGCATCAATACCACCACAAATTTGTGCAGTGCTTTCACATTTATTATCTTTTAATTTTAACTGTCTCAAACTCCTGTGAAATAACTAGAGAAGTTTTTATCTCTCAAAGCAGCACATAATAATATTGGCTGAAATGTGAGATGAAGGAGAAACTAAGGCACAAAGACCTTAGAGATTCAGACAAAACAGCCTGCCATGAACTCTACTCACTGGGGGCTGAAGCAAGAGCTGGACACTGCATATGCGCTACTGTACTTCCTATCCAGGGCAACCTAATGATAGGTCTGTACTATTAGCTCCATCTTATAGATGAGCAAACAGACATAAGGGAGTTAAGTACCATGCTCCAGGCTGTCACAGAGCTGGGGCTCAAGGCTGATTGCTCTGTGCTGTCACCAGTATATCATGGCACACTATTTCTTACAGCTCCACTGACTCTACAAGAACTAAGACAGCCATTGCTAACCTCTGGACCTTCACTGCAAACTCTGAAAACACTGAAGAAAGATAAAATATTAATTTGAACAAATAACCTGAAAAGATTGGTCATCATGATTTTATTCAGCTAGTTTCATTGTTCAAATTTTTCAATGTAATAGCCTGAATCTCTGTTCATAAATCTTTCCCCCATCTTAAGAGTGATGCAACAGAAGGGGCATTATTAATTGGTATTTGGCTAGAACAAATAACTCTCAAAGCTTCACAATGATGTTGACAAGAAATATATTTCACACTGCAATGTTACAAACAGACTCATGTAACTCTATGAATGATGCATTCTATTACCTTCATTTATGTTAATGATAGTTGCAGCCCACTTGATTGATTTCAGAAATGGATTGTAACCTATATTTGAAAAACAATGAGCACAAAGAATTTAAAGCCTTTGGCCTTAAGCAGTCCTTTCTATTATCCTTATTGGTCCTGAAATATTTCCTGTACGTGTCTGACATGAAAAAGAAGAGAAGCACTAAACTTGAAAACCCAGAATATACAAATGTACCCCCCCACAAAGAGATTAGGGAGCAAGGGATGGCATGACAGGGAGGGACTGAGAGAATGGGAGAAATTTATCGAAAAGGAAATCAAAGTACCACCCTTTAGCTGGATTACTGCTAGATACCCCAAAGCAAGGTTCTTTAGTAAACTGGATTTAAGGCATTATCATTTGGCCCAGGGCCTAAACAGGACTCCTGCCTTCCCTCAAAGCCAAACCCAAATTTACCACCTGCACAAAGATGCCCCAAGCAGCAAGAATTCTCAAAGACCTTTGTGAGAGTATTAGAATATAAGAATACTGGGCTAGCCAAGGGTTGAGTTCTCTGCATATCCTATTCATTGAAAGGCACAAAAAAAGACACATAAAATGTGGCTCAATTAGATTTCTTCTACTTTTCTTAAGAAGGAATTTCAGTGAATATAGGAAGGGCTAGGAAGAACTCTTCCCCATCATCTGGTAGAGATGACTTCTTTAAGATAAATTCCAAGAAGTAAAATTATTGGGTCAAAAAGCACCAATATTTAAAGTTCTTGCCACCTTTTACAAAGCTTCCATTCCGAAAGGTAACACACAACTATCCAGCAGCACAATGACTGTACCGATCCCATCTTGTCTCACACGCAGTATTTTCCTTAAAAAAAATTCAGCAAACAGAACAGATTTTAAAAATGGTATCTCACTGTATTCATTTCTTTTACTTGTCTTTTATTCATTTCACTTATTCACTCAGTAATTGTTTACTGAACACTTTCTAGATGACAGATATTATCCTTTTCCTCTCAGGGCTTAGAGTCTAGTGGAGAAAGAAAACAGTAAGTAAATAAACCAATAGACGAATCCAAAAGGTGAAGTGCAATAAAAGAAATCAGCACAGTACTCACAAAAAAACTCACAAGAACTCACAGTTCAAAAAGACCTGACTAAGGTGATGCTTCACATGGGGTCTTAAGAGATGAGAAGTCAGTCTTGCAAAGGAACCAATACTATGGGCAAAGGTCCCAAGACAGGCAAGAACAGTACTTTGATTCACTTGAATGTTTCATTTCATAGCTACCTAGTGAGGCCAGCCACTCTCCAATGTGTTTACTAACTTGTATTTCTAACCTCATATATTTACAGGTTATTAATCTGTGTGAGTACCTTACACATAAAGGCTATTAACCTATTTATTTCATTGCTTTTCATAGCATATTAATCTATAATTTTGTTTATGGTGTTTAACATAGAGGGGCTTTTATCACGTAGTGACACTGACAGATATTTTCCTTTGTGATTTGCTTCCATGACTTCTAAAGCTTCCCTCACCCAGGTACCAGATGTGCATATTTACTGTTATCTATGTTTTGTTATTATTATCTGTTTTATTATATGACTTTTACATTTCATTCTTCTATCCACCTGAAATTTATTCTGGCATAGGTAAGAAATTCTTCTTTCTTTTTAAATATTTGCATTCTAAAGGAGCTAACTGCTCCAGAATCACCAAACACTGTGTGACCTCAGGTTTCCTTACTTGTAAATAATAGCAGGTATTTCAGGGGGATGATTAAATGAGATAATGCATATAAAATGCTCAGCAAGTAGTTAACATGTGGTAGCTATTATTTATTGGTACTGATAATCTAATCTGATTTATGACATTATTATATTAAATTTCTATATAGTATTATAGTACTGCTTCTGGGCTGTTTGGTCTAATCCATTCACTTGTTTTATAATTCTTGTGTCAGTACCATGCATCTGGTAAAATAGACTAGACGAGACTCTCTCCCAATACTTAACCTTTTAAATACATTTTACCTAATCTTTACCTAATCTTCTCTGTTTATTTGTCCAGATGAAGTCTACCCAGAACAGTGGTTCTCAAACTTAGATGCCTGGAACCACACGGGAGTCTTAACCTTTACTATACCAGATAAAAATGGCCACCCAAATTTACTATCTTTTTATTTATCTTTAATATTTTAAGCCATTTTAAACTAATTTACAAAAATAAGAATAAAAAGATAATAAAAATAGTAACTTTAAGAATCTTTATAAAAATTTAAACATAGCAAATTTTAAAAATAACATTTCTGTTATTGAAGGTATATAGATTCAAAATAATAGCATTCTTTAAATGTAACTAACTGTTCACAAGTTATCATGCATGAATCTGCAATATTTTCATTTCTGTTTTTAGGAATATTATTTACTAATTAATTCGGAGTTTGAGGAGATTCATGTAGAAAATCATTATCTAAAGACTCATAGTCTAGGGTTAAGGGTATAGCTCAGCAGTAGAGTTCATGTCTAGCAGGCACGAGGTCCTGGGTTCGATCCCCAAAACCTCCATCAAAAATAAATAAGTAAATCTAATTACCCCCCTCAACAAAAAAGCTTAAAAAAGACTCAGTCTGAGATTTCACTTACAATATTTCACCATCATTATTAGCTTAACTGTTTCTTTGCATTCATCTTCTGACTTCTCTAATAGTTCTGAAATGTCTAGGTTTGCCAATTTTTTTCTTTGTATTAGATGGAAAATTAAAAAATGAAAAAATCCTAATTCTCAAATATGTTCAAAGAAAGCTTAAAGACAAAAAGACTAAGAAGAGTAGCTCCAAACTGCTTTCATATCTTTTTGAAAGATCATGCAATACGTTGGGTAATGCTAGTACAATAGCGATGATTTATCTTATCATTGCATCATCCTTCTAGGCAATTAGACCACTTTCACTTTACTCTTTTCAGTTAAATAATTCCTAAGATAATAAAAGAGTAAAATGCTTTAAGATAAAGGAAAAAGCAAGATCTCTAAAATCCTGTAATTTAGATTTATACATGTCCAATGAACCCATATGGTAATCACAAGCTAGAATGAGCTTTATTCTACGCTTTTTAATAAATAAATTTCCTTTTCATTTTGAAAATCTCTAAGAAATAATAAAAGTTACAACATATCAATCACTACAAATAATTAGAACTGCTTAAAATAGAAAATCAAAGCAAAATTGAGACCAATGGGCTGTGATGGTAATAAATACAAAGGGTTAAAAAATACTGTCACCTAAATCCTTCCTCAAGATTTCTGATTTTATTGTTCTGAAGTATGTGGATATGGCCTGGGCACTGGAATATTTTAAGGCTTCCCAGGTAATTCTACTGTGTAGCTAAGGTTTAGAACCATTTTCAATTACACCAGATAAATGAAAAAATAAAGACAAAATCCATTTAAATTTTGGAGAACATTATTACACCCATAAATTAACTCAGAATAAATTAACATCTTTATAGTTTCAAATGTTCCTAGCAGGTTGATACTATCTCTTTCCAAGGTTTTAAATCTTGTTTAATGGCTCAGTAATTTTGTAGGTTTCTTCTCACCACTGTTGTTACTTAAGTAGGTTCCCAGGTATTTCATACTTTTTGTTGCTATTTTGAATCTAATCTCTTTCCCACATTGTATTTTCTAATTTATTACTACTACCAATAAGAAAACTATTAACAATTCTGGGATTTCCCACCCCCCTCCAACATCCAGCCACTTCACAGAACAGTATACATTCTAAGTTTCCCAACTGACTTCCTCTGTCTTTTTTTCCAGTAAATAGTGTCCGGCAGACCTAATTCATTGTTTAAAATGTAAGAACTACAGTAAAAGCATACCAACAAACAAATCAACCAAAAACTCCCTTAACTTTTATAAAGCCAGTTTATATGCCAATTTTTTATCTTTATTTATAAAAAAAATTGGGGGGGTGTATTTAGGTTTGTTTCGTTTGTTTGCTTGTTTGTTTGTTTGTTTGTTTAGAATGGAAGTACTGGGGATTGAACCCAGGACCTCATGCATGCTAAGCATGTGCTCTAGCGCTTGAGCTATATCCTCCCCCACTATATGCCAATTTTTAAAAATTAAACCATCCCAAGTTTCAGGTTAAGTCTTCCACTACTATAGACAAGAACTACATTTGAATTGTCCAAGCTCCACACTATTCTTTTGGTAACATCTTGTTTCTAAACTTATGTTCTTCAATGGAGTGCCTACCACCTGTTAAAAATGTAACACTAGAAGAGGCAAAACCTCTTTTAAAAAAAGAGTCAGAAGACTATTTACCATTGAGAAGAGAGCCCAACTGTCACAGAACACTATGGCCCAGTTCTTACTGAAAATGGATACTTCTTATCTCATCCATGCGGGTTAGTTTAAAACAAAAAAATCACCTAATTAATTTCTTACATATACATAAGACATCTGATATCAGTGAGCTTCAGTATTCAAACCACGCATTATACTGGAAAAAAACAACAAACTATGAACCAAAAGACCTCGATTCTAATCTCAGCTTAGGCACTAAATAAGAGATTTCACACAAATTACCTAACTAACTGCTACACACACACACACACACTCACTCACCAGCAGCCACCATCTTGAAGAAAACAATCTGTAAAGTCCTGTCTTTAAAAAAAATGAACTCTGACAGTAGATGGGCCACACTTTTGGTTTACTACAAGCTTTATTTGTCTACAAATTAACTTTTATTCAAACTTTTCACTATGTCTTAATACCAATAAAGATTTTAAAATCTGTCTTACTGATAAATTGAGACGACAGAAAATGTAAAAGGAAAAGGAGAGACAAACGGGAAAGTGGGAAAAGAAGAAATTAAAAACAAAAAGCACCAACAAACTATCAGAGGTATATTCTCCCGGGACAAATATACACGTATTAGAACAAACTACTCCTCTCCTAATGCTAAGTCAAATGAACAATTATTCTAAGCACCTACCACATACAAAAGGACCAGTTTTCAGTTTCAAAAGTTCTATAATTTGGTAGCATTAACAGTCAGGAAACTCTAGGTAAGACCTTCAATAAAGTATTAGGATGATAAAGCAAAGAAGAAATACTTGAACACTTAGCAAATTGTGGAATTTCAGTAGAAGAGACAGTTTTTTCCTACCCTTTCCACTAGGATTTCTGCCACTGTGGCAAACCAACTATACAACATGTACTGCAGACATCAGTAGTGATCAAGGAAACAGGATCATTTCTTACATGTGGAAAAAAAAGAAACAAGCTTTTGTATTTTAATTTTAAACTCATATAAAGCTGAATTAGAATTGAAACTTCAAAACTTTGAACCACATTTAGAGAAGAGCCACAGTAATTTTTCTAAAACATCTCTCCTAGGCACCAAATCTCCCTATTACCAAAAAGTACATTCAAATGCGCTATACCACACGTGCAGCCAAGAAAGGAAAAAAAGAAAACACATTCACTCAACACCTACACATATGCTAGGCAGGTCCACATTTTACTACCTTGTTTAATTAATCTCAATTTTGTTCAAATGGATAATCATATCAATTTTATCAAAAAAGTAAGTTGAGTCATGGACTAGTTAAGGAATTTTCCCATGGTCTCACAGACAGTTTTTTATAAAAACGCATGTTCTTTCCATTATACTTTGCTACCTTCAGAAATAGATGTTCCAGAAATATTTCACTCATGTGGACCTTATTATGTATTGGGGGAAAGCCACTGATAAGAGGGAAAAGATTTAAAACATATGGTAATAAGTATAAAATATGCTCAAAATAATTATTCAAATACTAAAAGGAAGTGAAAAGTGAAGTTATGACTAATTTAGGGTGTCAGTAAACGCGGTTTTAAATAGCTTGGGCTTGACAGAGAAACTCACCGTGGTATATAAGGAACAACTAAGCCATATTTGAGGATTTTAACAAATTAATTTGGAAAACCAGGACAGTCACAGTGGGAGTTACAAAAGGTTTTCAGAGAGGGGAAGAATATGGACCTTGAGCTTTAAACAAGTCCTCTAGTCTTTAAAACATATCACAAAAGACAAGATTAATATTCTTTAACTACAGCTACAACCAGGTAACTCTCTATTCAAACACCAAAGGTTCCCTGGCCAACTGAATTAAATTCAAAATCCTGAACCTGGTATTCAAAGCTCTTCAGTCAAGCTCCTGCCTGTCCAGTCTACCTTTTCAGTTTTAGCCCTTTCTATAGGTTCTCTTTGCTATAGTCCAACCAGACTACCACCTATTCCCAGATGTGCTCCAGGCGTCCTCCCCTCTACATGAGCCCCTCTACATGTCCTCCCCTACTTGCTGTTCTGAAATCTTACCAGTCAGTTCAGTAACCTCACAGCCACATAGTTTTATCTTTAAATCCTCATACCATTTTACTTGTACCATTTTATGGCACTTATATTCTATTATGTTTTATACAGATTTCTTGTGTACCTACTTATTCCCGAAAGATCTGGAAAATTCCTCAACAAAAGAGTATCATTTCCTACAACACTGTATTCCCAAAAGCACCTACAAAATTTCCTACATATACATGCCACTGGTGTGCACTGAG